GGCACAGCACTCGTTTGGGGCTTGTGGGGCTCAGGTTCTATCCTCGGTGCTATAAAACTGCTTCATGATTTGGCTTCGCCTTTAAACTATTCTCCCCCTCCCTGAGACAGGATTTCTCTGTGTAACAACCCTGGCTGTCCTGGAACTTGCTCTGTAGACCAGATTGGCCTCAAACTCACAGAGATCTGCCTGACTCTGCCTTGTGAGTGCTGGGATTAAAGGTGGATGCTACTACCGCCAGGTTTAAGCTATTCTTTTTTGCATTGTTTTATTACTTCAAAAAATATCAATCTAAATTCCCACTCCCCTCCTCCCACTCCCTCTACACACCCTCCCATCCTTCCCTAAGCTATTATTTTTTTAAAAAAAATCATTTTTATCCCATGCTTTTTCAGACCCAGGCCAGCTGGCCTTGGTGAGTTCCCGATAGAACATCCCCATTGTCTTAGTGTGTGGGTGCACCCCTTGTGGTCCTGAGTTCCTTGCTCGTGCTCCGTCTCCTTCTGCTCCTGATTTGGACCTTGAGATTTCTGTCCGGTGCTCCAATGTGGATCTCTGTCTCTGTCTCCTTTCATCGCCTGATGAAGGTTAATATTCAGGAGACTGCCTATATGTTTTTCTTTGGGTTCTCCTTCTTATTTAGCTTCTCTAGGATCACTAATTATAGGCTCAATGTCCTTTTAGCTAGTGCATGCATGTGTGCGTGCATGCATGTGTACTTGTGTGAGTGTGTGTGTGTGTTTTCCATGTACATTCCAGGGACTGAACTCAGTTTATCAGACTTGGCAACAAAGTGCCTTTACCCCCTCAGCCATCTCCTCAGCTCCTTTTAAGCTCTTCTTGGTAAACCACTTAATGAAAATTTAAAAAGCTTAAACGTAAAAAAATTTAAAAAGATAAAAAAAATTCATCAAACATATTAGCCATTGGATGATAAGGTAACAAAAAGTCTTGCCTTCTTCCATGACAGCGCTAGTGATGAAACAGTGGGTAGGTGATCTGCTTGACTCAACCATGATACAGGAATGTTTTATTTACAAGGAAGCTGGACAGATAATTGGAAAATGCTTAAACCCTTAGCTGAGGGGCTACTGACTATAGAGGAGAAAGACGCCTTTTTCTTTGGACGTGTGGTCCCTGGTATGTTCTCCATGCCCCAGGGGATGGCCCCACACCTCTATACATCCAGGCAGCACTCAGAATCCTTCTAAAATTCTTTGAAACTTAGTCCACTAGAATAGACAAGAACTATATAAAAATAGTCTAAGAACTACGGTTACTTCAGCAAAATGTAAAGAAAGAACCTCACACATGTTTAGTACTGTTAATCCCCTACATACAGTCAACCACTTCAATAAATAAAGCGATGGACTTCTCAGTAAGGTAAACTTAAATAGTTACAAACGTACATGTAGAAAAAGGATACAGTAGTGCAAAAAATAAATTATTAAAACAGAAAGAAGTATGAACATTATTTTACACAATGCTCTATAAAACCTGAACCATTTGAAATGAGACCTCAAGTCAGTGAAAGAATACAGTGACGCCTGCATCCGCTTCCCATTCTAACCACACAGTCACTCAGCTACGACAAACAAACTTTTAGAAAAACTGACGCTAAACAGCGACTTTTACTGGCCTCTTCCACACCTCTGGCTGTTAGTGTCAAAAAGCATCTGAAGACAGAAAGTCAAACATGTCACATCCTTTCTGTCTTCCTACTCAACTTATGTGTGGTCAAAACGCATAGCAACATCTCTCAAAAATACTCTCTTCTGTTAACGTGTTATTACAACTAGATATCTGATACAAGAACATCACCCCAGGGCAGTGGATAGGGTGGAAATGCCTCCTTCCCAGTCTGCTCCCCCTAATTTTGGTTTCTGGCTATAAAGGCCAGGATTCGCCGAATACCATTCAGTCTATCCTTTAGGGACTTCATTGCTAGGAAGGGGAGCTGAGCTCTGGTTTCCAGGGGAAGAACGGCTAATGTCCACCAGCACCAGGCTGGACCGTTCGGATTAACCTGCAACAGAGAAACACAGTTCATCGATCCTGCTACCGTGCAGTCCACACACACAAGTCCCCACGCATAAAGTAAACACCCCACATGGGCCCACTTAGGTGTGTGGCCGAGACTGCTGAGAGCTTTCATCACTTCATTTGCTCTTCGTTCATTTCAGCTGAGCCCACAGCAACATGGTGGCAGCTGCTACGGGACACTATTGTTTCCTGGTCTCCCTGGTGGCTAGGTGAGGCCATAGACAAAACTGTGGCTAAGGAGAAGTGGTAAGTTCTGGGTCGTGCTCTGGGAAAAGAGCATGCGGCCTCTGACTACCTTTGTCTCCATATTTCTTTCCTTTTCTTTTCATTTTCTTTTTTTAAACTTTTGTTATTTTATGTGTATGGGGTTTTGTCTGCATGTCTGTCTGTGCACCACAGAGGCTGGAAGAAGGCACCTGATTCCCTTGGGCTGGTGGCTGTGAGCCCCTGTGTGGGTACTAGGAATTAAACCTGGGTCATCAAGAAGAACAGCCCGTGCTCTTAACCTCTGAGGCATCTCTACATCCTCTCCCCTTTCTCTAGCAAGACTGAAGACATGGTGATGACCAGTCTTCTTTAGTCAGGAAAAAAGAACTTTCTAGAGATGGCACAGCCCTGTGATAAAAGAGCCTGGGTCCTGGATGCTCTCTTGAAATAGAACTGTCTTAGTCCTCCAGGACTGGGGCCTTCTCCCTCATTGGAGCTGCAGTCTCTTTTAGTACTTGTTAAACCAAGCAAACCAGCATCTTACCACATACTCTGTGCTTCCTAAGCAGCGTGGTTTTACAAGCTCTGGAGTACCAACTATTTTCTCTCTTTCACTCCGAAGACCCTTTGGACTTATCCATTTAAAATTCAGGCCTTTAATCCTAGGGCTCTTTGGGCTTGGCATGATGGTTTCACACCCATTATTTTCTTACTTTGGTGGACGGCTGTAGTCTAAATATACCATGTCCCAAACAGAACCATAGCTACCTTCTCCCCTGAAACCAAGAGCTATGATTTCCAGTTTCAAAGAATAGCAAGCAAACATTTCAATTAGGAAATACATTCCTGTTAACCTTCGGGGTTTTCTCCAATAAAGACATGTCTCATCCCTTACCAATCCTTCACCGACATGTTCTTTGTTATCAGCTTCCTGAGCACACATCTTAGACATTTATTACTAAGCCTCAAATGAGTTTTCTTCCCACAACTTTCAGAACGAGTCAGCTTTCGGCTCGTAGAGAAGCGCTTGCTGGTCTCGCTCCCTCCATATGAAGTTATTTTACTCCAAAATGCTGTGTGGGTTTCTCCCTGAATGTCCCTGAAAGCATTGGGACACCCCCATCTCCTCTGTCTCTGTCTTTGTGTGTGTGTGTGTGTGTGTGTGTGTGTGTGTGTGTGTACCTCACTGTAGTGTGCAATCTATTTTCTTACAATCACTTTTGGATACCAGATTGCTATTCTGAGCTTTCTTTCCCAGGATCACCAGGCAGAGACTTAAGTTGATGTTAATACCATTGCTGTTTCTAAGAAACCTCCCACCGAGGCGCGAAATTCTTATTCGTGGAATTGCTTGGGGTTGCAGGATTAGATACAGCAAACTGGATGAGTTTTTGCTGTCGCCGCCACCACCAAGGCAACATGATAACAAAACTAATAAGAAAGGAAATGATTCGGACTTGCCATGTCATTATGGCCTTATGAATCACACCGAGGCACCTGTGCTTTCTCCTGTGGAAGATGTGCTTAGCACTGTTATTCTGTATCTTTTGCCTGACTGGCAGAGAATGTTCCTCAGCAGGTGAAGAGGAACATTAAGCTCGAACATGACCTTGTTCCAAGTTACGCTGACTTCTTAAATCACCATAGCCAAGAGCTGGGTCACCAGAAAGCACTTGCTGCCCTTGCTCTCTTTAGAACATGCGAGGGATGCCATTATACGGAGGGAGAAGAGCCACTCTGTGGGCTGCAGGAAGCAAGCCAGTTCAGCCCATTAGGGAGCAGATATGTGTTTTGAGGTCTCAGAATGAAGGAAGAGGAGGAACTTCAGACTCTTAATGATCCCCTCTGATTTTAGAGAAAAGTTGAGAAAGGGGAAAGATATTTACCCAAAGCCACACTGTCAGAAAAGTCAGAGTATGTATATATATATATATATATATATATATATATATATATATATATATATAATCAGATTTTTCTATGGTAATAGAATCAGGGAGCATACGTTAGAAAAGAAATCAGAGAGGTTCCAGCAGTGTGGGGGCAGCCAGCTTAGCATATAGAGAAAGGCAGCATTAAGAGAATAGTACAGCTTAGTCCGTCTCTTCTCCAAACTGGAAGTCCCCACAAACACTGCCTGATTGAAAAACAAGGCAGGCAAATTGTGGGAAAACCGAATTCTCCCCACATTCCTAGTGTACTCTGGATCTGCAGCCTGAGCTTGTAGAGACCCAGGCCTCAAGGAAGAAGAGCAATCCAGTAGAACCTAATGAACTATGTCCTGGGGACCACCTTTCTCAGGACCTGCTCAACCTAGGAACAATGGCAAGAGTCTAGACTCGCAGGGTTACACATTGATGGGCCGGCTATGAAGGATTCTGCAGCTGGACTCTTGTAGCATAGGTGATCCTACCTCCTAGCTCTTGCAGAACTGGAAAAGGGGACATCAAGCCAGCTAGAGGTGCAACCTTAGTTTTCATCTCTCTTACTCCCTGGCTGTTACATTTGTCCCTGTCACCTAATATTACCATGGCTGTGGGTCTGGACTCCCATCGAAGGCTCTCCTGTCGGTAGTGTCGCTGCTCCCTTCCTCTCACCTCACCTATGTCTCAATATTTGTCTTAGTTCCAAGTTCCTACTACTTACCTTTATAAAGCCAATTCTGACTGGGGATCCTTTTGGTCCTACCTGTGATGCTCACTACTTAGCCACACAAGACTATATTGGATGCCAACCCCACACCCATCTAGTTACAAAGCCTGGAATGTCCCACCTGGTGGGGCAACCTGTTCTGAACAGATATACTTGTATACCTGGGGATCTTCATCTTTCTCTGGCATTGGACCAAAGTGATTTAGTATCCGATTCTTGAGCGATGTTTTGAGCGAATGAAACCACGAGGAGGCTTGCTCATACACACAGTTATGCAGCCCCATGAGTTCGGCACGGTCTTCTCCCTCAACCTGCAAATATCAAAATGCAAGTGAAGCAGTCTCTGCCTTCTCCACCCACCTCAGAGTTGTTTTCGGACACCCGACTCTCTTTTGAGATTCTGACCTGCCTTTCCTTTCCCCTTCTGGCTCTCTCCTCGGTCAAATGTGGAACACCCAGCAGCCAGGTGCTGGACTGGGTACGAATATGGCATAGAAAGCAGGAAGACGAAAGGTTTAACCGAGAAAAATGCCCGAAACAACAGGCAGAGAAACAACAGCGGGAAGCTTGAGCTAGCCCAGGTGATGGCATATGAGTAAAGTTCACTGGGCTGCTTTATGCCTCTGCCCCTTCCATCTTTATGTCCTTTTCTTCCCTACTCACTGGGAAGGGAGATACGGCTGTATCTGTGCCTCAGCACATCCTCAAGGCCAAATGAATTTATCCATTCACCATGCATCAATCTACAACCTAATTTATACAAATGAGCATAGGATTACTGACCTCTTCCTCTACCCCTTAGCTCAGGGTATATGACATTTTGCTTTTACTTTTGGGGACGCTGAATGACTCTGAGGTAGGAACACAGTTCTTAGGCAGGTTGGACATTTTAAAAATGAATTTCTATTGCAATCTACAATAATCTCAAAAAATGCACTGGAAAATATAAATCAAGCCGTAGTTAAAATGCTTATGTGTACCCCATTCTACACCGAGCCCCCAGAGGGAGAGAAAGGGGGAGAGAGGGCTTTGGATGCAGGTGGGCAGCTGCCCAGTAGCATTCATCTAGGACCAATTTGGTGAGAAATCCCAAGGCCCCAGTCCAATTCTGAGAAACCTCTTCACAATCATCTTTGTATACCAAGCTACAATAATAATTTGACTTTTAGGTTTCTTGATCCTGGCTGCCCTTACCTTTTGATCTTCAATGTATTCAATATCAGCTGTGTTGTAGCCATCCCGCTGGCCCTGATTGAGCACCTTGAAGCGCCTCTTGCCTATGCTGTCAACCACCGATCGGCCATCAGCAAAGAATTGGACATTTCTGATTTCTAGCATGCAGCCGTATTCTGCAAAGCTGGTTATTGAGAATCAAGTCAAGAGAGTGGATTGTTGATGAGTTCTGCCGTCCTTGGCCTAGATCACCATGCCTAGCACCCTGGGCTGTTTGCTAGAGGACTTCTCTGCGCTGATCTACAACTGTACCTATCCATCAGACAGCACCTGTGAGGAGAAAAGATCTGAACAGAATGGTAAACTGACTCTCATTTGTTGATTGCACACTATGTGCAGTGCTTTGGTTTCAATGTTTGTCCTTCTCAAAAGCTGGTGTTGAAATTGAATTGCCATTTTAACACTGGTCCTGCCTTTAAGAAGTGATCAGGCCTTGAAGGCATTGCCCACATGAGTGGATTAATTACTGCAAAAGTGTGTTCTTTAGCAAGAGGAGGGTTGGGCTTCCCTTCTCTCCCTTCCTCCTTGCCTTTCTACCAAGATGTTATCCACATCCTGGACATGAGAGCATATAATGATAGTCCTAGCCACAAAAGAGGCTGTTGGCAGGTGAACCACAAATTTGAGGTTGGCTTAGGCAACTTAGTCCTACCTGGTCTTAAATGAAATAAAATAGGCTTAGGATATAGTTCAATGGTAGAATAACTTCTGTGGTAGTCTGAACGCAATGATGGCCCTTTTAAGCTCATATGGAATGGCACTATTGGGAAGTGTGGCTTTGTTGGAGTAGGTATGGCCTTGGTGAAGGAAGTGTGGCAATGTGGAGGTGGGCTTTGAGGTCTCCTATGCTGAGGATATTACCCAGTGTCTGAGTCCACTTCCTATTGCCTTCTGACCAAGAGGTCTGCCTGTTTGCTGTCATGTTCTTTCATGACCATAACGGACTGAACCTCTGAACTGTAAGTGAGCCACCCCAGTTAAATGTTTTCCTTTAGAAGGGTTGCCATGGTCATGGTGTCTCTGCACAGCAACAGAAACCCTAACTAAGACACCTACCTAGACTCTGGATTCAGAAAAAGAAAACATTACTGTTATCAGATGCTGGCACATTGGCTGTAGGCATCACAGCCTTGATAACTGTAGGCATAAATGTCTATTGCCTGTGGTGGCTCACACCTGGAATCCTAATGTAGGGGAGGCTGAAGCAGAATTGCCATGAGTTTGAGGCAAGTCTGGGCTATACAGTGAGTTCCAGGTCACCTTAGGTTACAGTATGAAACCCTGGCTCAAAAAAACCCTATTGCTTATAAATTACTTGCTACACAACATTATATTACAGTATCCCCAATGGACTTATTTGGATAGGAACCTTGTGTAATGCTTGGAGCCCATCAGCTCTCCCAATAAGCAAGACCAGCTAGGTAGGCATACCATCATGCCCACTTAACATACAAAGAAACTGGAGACAGAAAGGCTAAATGATTTTCCCAACATCAAAGGTAACTCCAAGGCCAGCACTCAAATATTAAAGTGGGTAACTTAGCTCTAGGGCTAACACTCTTTACAAAACAATTTTGTTTGTGTGTTTCTGGGTTTCACTTGTTTTTGAGACAGGCTCTCATGTATTGTGGGCTGTCCCTGGACTTCGCATGTAGTCATGGGTGACCTTAAACTTTGTTTTATCTTGTCTCCAACTCACTACTATTGGGATTGTGGGTGTGCAGCACTCCAGGTTTATGTACTGCGGAGGATCGATTCCCAGGCTTTGTGACTGACAGGCAAGCTGAGCTACAGCCCTAGCCTACAAGACAAGTTTTGCAATGTATGGAACCTGCTTAATGAAAGATTACCTCTAGGGTTACTTAAAATAGAACTCATACTATAAAGTAGGTATCAGAGGGAACGTGATCCTCACAGATGTTTGGGTGCTCTGAGCTGGCTAACCTCACGAACTTGGTTGATCCCACCACACGAAGCCCTCCGAAGTAAAAGAGAAATCCCCTTATGTTGAAATAAGGGTGGTGGGGCTGTGTCCCCAGCACCCCGGCTGCCTGGCTAGCTTATGCCCAAAATAACAACACACAAACTGTATTCATTTAATCACTGCTTGGCCCATTTCTATCTAGCCTCTTCTAGGCTAATTCTCACATATTAATTTAGCCCATTTCTAATCATCTGTGTAGCGCCCCTAGGTGCGCTTACTGGGAAGATTCTAGCCTATGTCCATCCTGGGTCGGAGCTTCATCGGGTGCGTCTGCCTGGGAGCTGGGAGCATGGCGTCTCTCTGAGGCGTCTGCTCCCGAGAGGAGAGCTCTGGAGTCTGAGCTCACTTCCTCTTCCTCCCAGCGTTCTGTTCTGTTTACTCCTCCCACCTATCTTCTAACCAATGAGGGCCAAGCAGTTTCTATTTATTTAACCAATGACCTTCCTCCATCACCCTTATACCTAACTTCCCTGTTCCCTAGGTCTCCTCACTTACCCTCTGACAGGATCTCCAAGGCACATGCCAAACTGTTTTGTGCCTGTCTCAATACATCTCCGAATCATCAGGCGATAACAAGGCTCAAAGATATGCAGGGGACAAGGGACAGTGGGATAGGCCATGGTGCAAACGAAAATAGGCACATTCTTAGTTAAGCTGTCGGGAAGAGAAGATGAAATGGATCTTAAACCAATGGAGCAGAGAACCGACAGGTTGGTCAATGTCACAGTATGTTTCCTTGGAGTAAGACAAGGAGTCATCAAAGTTTAATGGCGGATAGGGAAACATTGAAGTGCACTTGATTCTGTAAGGCAATTTCCATGATCCAAGTCTGAAAGCCTAAGCTGGCATTGCACACATTCTAAGTTTGTTGATTAGATCTCGATTACCATAATACTGTATTATAATACTAATACAGTAATACAGTATACTAATACATAATATAATACATAATGATGTATTATAATACTAATACCATAGTACTATGCTGCTCCTACCTTTCTTCCCTCCCTTTCTCCCTCCCTCTCTCTCATTTGGACCACTTCAGGCATTTTGTTTGAGATATGAAGAAGAGCACTGATGTTATAAATGCACCCAGCTTTGCAGATGGGCAGTACCGCAAAGTCCTTACAAGCATCTCAAGTTTGCCACGTCTCTCAGAGACCATTGAGAGCAGACCCAGCTAGGAGGAGTAGCCAGCAAGAGACCGCCAAGACAAATGTAGCCCAGTGATGCTCAAATGCTCATGGACATAAGAATAATTGGGGACCCTTAAGTCTAGATGACTGGACCATTACACCTTCAGAGATACTGATGCATTCCCTCTGGAATTGCGATGCAGGAATCTGCCTTTCAATAAATATCCTTGAAAATTCAGACACATGGCTCTATGGGGAATCCCCAACTGGGACAGCTCTTCATAGATCCTAGTCCCCTGAAGCATCCAGTAAAACTGGTGCAGGGACACTACATCTAAAGGGGCCAAGAAATGTAAGACCATCTGTATAAATCCTAAAAGGGGTCCAGTCTGAGATGCCTTTAAACAGAAAGCCCCTCAGTATGTACCACTATTTATTAGGACAACTTTGCATGATAGTTGAGAAAAGGACTCAGAGAGGTTAAAACAACCATTCTCAACCTGTGGGTCATGACCCCTTTGGGGGTCAAATAGCCCTTTCACAGTGGTTGCATATCAGATACTCTGCATAGCAGGTATTTGCATTATGATTTATAACAGCAGCAAAATTGCAGTTATGAAGTAGCAACGAAAATATTTTTATGGTTGGGACTCCCATGTTATGAGGAACTGTATTAGAAGGTCACAGCGTTAGGAAGGTTGAGAACCACTGGGTTAAAGACTAAGTGAAGGATCAGAAATGAGATAAAACTGTGCAGAGTGGTTTCAATATAAAAAAAAATTTAGTCTCTGAGAAAAACATGTGAAGTGAAGGCACATCCAGACAAATGGGACGCCCAGTTCGAAAGTGATCTCTTCCCAGAGGGCATAAAAACAGCCGTGATTTTTCCCTCAGGAAGCTGTTTTCCAGCAGAACGCTGTCAGAACTCTTAGGGAGGGCCGGGTAGAGGGCAGCAGCCAGAGGTGCAGGACTTAGCTGTTATTTCCTGCTTTTTTGCTAAGTGCATGGCACTCAGAGCCCCGGAAGATCCAATTATGTCTCCATTCCGAGCCTTCCCCTCTCATACTGTGCAGCAGAGAAAATACACAGCGAGTATAGGCACTATTGCCTTAATAAGTGCTTGCTGTGCAGCAACTCATTCGGGTCTTCAGAATAAGCCTACAATACAAGAGCTATCAGCTTCAAGTCACTGGCAAGGGAACTGAATCCCAGAAAGGTTGAATGGCATGTCCACGACCACGAAACACACTCCCTGATAGAACTGGGCCTTAACCCCAGGTGTGGCTTCACACCACTGTTTACCCAGCCATCACCCGCTTAAGGACTTGAAGGCATCTCCTAGCTGTCTCATGAGGTCTGCTGATTAAGCTGCCCGTTAACTCAGTCCAGCCCATAGCACGTACTTCCTAGTGCTGAGACGCATCAGGTGCCTCTGTGCTTTGCCGCTGAGCTTCTTAGGAGACATACTGGTAAATGTTTAACAACTGCTTCTGAGAGGGATGCGGGGGGGGGGAGGACAATTTGTAGCATTTGTTGACTTCCATGATGCAAATATTCTCCTCATGGCCATGTCAAGCTAGTAACGACATGGCATCATTGAACCAGAAGTTGCTAGGAAATGTGTCAGTTTTTGTGAGTGGACACACATGAAACGGAAGCCAGAAACATGCATTAAACATACTTAGAAAGTTCTTCCATTTCCTCTTCATGAAGGCGCTTTCGTTCCCTGAGTTCTTCTGGCAGGAATTTAGCTATTAGTTCTTCCATTATTATGTTCTTGCTGTACTTTCTTGATTGAAAGCCCTAGAAATGGATCAAAGTAATGAGATAATATACAGTCCACACGAAAAAAAAAAAACACAGACAATCAAGTGTAGCCCAGATGTAGTCTGATGGAGACCAGACAGTAGTCAAATCATGCATGTGTTGTAATTTGGATTTGGAAGCTAATCCAGCCACAATATATGTATCTTTTGGATGTTAGAGTTATGATTTTCCTAAAAAAATTCAATTGAACATTTATAATTAAAAAATATTTTAACAAAAAATGTTGCATTAAGCTTTTGAAAAATTTCACAGATGTCATAAAGCTTTGGATTTGAGAGGTTCATGTCTGAACTGTATTTTTGTGTTTACGAACTCTATCTTGGAAGTGCTGAAACACAAAGGGTCCAGAGAATCAGACAGCTGTGTTCATGTACCCTTTGTTGCCTTGCCCACCTCCACTCCAATCGAATCCCTGGCTCCTAGATATTGCCAAGTCTCCATGTCTTAACTTTAGTTAAAATAGAAACCACACAAAAACTAATGGCCAAATACAGGTGGTTGTCTCATTGCCAGTTTATGTCACCATCTTAGGTATCACTGAAACTCAGAATCAGACTTAGGTTAGAATGTCCCTACCATATGCATACCCAGAGATCTAAGTGCAGTATGTATTAATAATATGGCCCAAACATTGAATGGTAAAATATCTTCTAATAGAACAGTAAAACCTTAGAGGAGAACTTATTATTTCAACTTTCCTAAAGCAATACAATCTATTTGTAATTGTATTCTAAATACTTATCCTTCAGGGACGTGCAGCTCTCACCCCTCACCGAAGAAGCTTCTTTTTGTAGCAGACAAAGACTAGTACAGAAAGTCACAACTGGTCAAAATGTAGATAACAATCCACTGTGGGCTGCTCATCCCCAATTGAACAACTACAACACAATCCCTACATGTAAGACTCAGGACATCACAGAAGAGGGGGCAGAAAGGCGGTAAGAGCCAGAGGACCAGGATGTGTGCTTCCTTCTCTATATGCCTGGAAAGTTGTACCCATAAAATCTGAACAAAAATACAATTCTCTAAACAAGGCTTGAACAAATGACATCCCCAGAAAACCTATTATTTGTGTAATGAGGAAATCCCATGAAGCTATTCCTAGATGAGGAGCTCCAGGCCACTAAAGGCTGCTGGGAGGGGAAGGATCCATCTTCCCCAGGGAGAAAGCCGTTAATTGGTCATTTAATATCAGTGATCAGCCCCAAGAGCACATGCGTATGAGCAACACTAACTGGACTCGGAAAGTCGTAGTTATATATTTATATGCACACATATATGAAACACTAGTTAAAGAATATGAGGTCACAAAATTGAGAGGGAGTGGGGGGGTCATAGGCAGGATTGGATGGAAGGAGAGAGGGAAAAAGGAAGTAAATACAGCACTCGTGAAATTCTCAAATAATAATAAATAAAAAATTAATATCTGCAGAGAATTGATTGTGGTGGGACTCAGCAGAGGGAGCTCCTAAGTACCAAATTGCTGGCTTCAGACAATTAATTTTGTTTCTTCCCCAGGAGTCTCTACTCAACAACTAACATGGCTGGAATATGTATCACTCTGTTAAGTGGTGGAAGTATGCCCCTGGATGAATACAGAGCTAGATGAGAATATCTTCGAGCCTCTGAGTCTGAGATCCCACGGCTTCTGCCTTCTGGATGCCTTATCAAGTACGGCCATTGCATGGCAACAGGCAAAAATCCATAATGTCCAGTCCCAGGTTTTAGGGGAAAGCAGTGCCTCAAGAGGTAGGCAGTCTACGTGGGAAAGTGATTCCTCTGCTGATGCTAAAACAAAACTCCAGGAAGCGGACACCCTAAAATGGTAACAGCGCTTTTCTCTAGAGGCTGAGCATATGGTAGATGTTTCTCCTTCTGTTGGTGTGAACTTTATGGTGTTAACTAACTCAGCATGGATATCTCATTTAAATAGAAGAACCATGAGAATCTTATCTACAATCAGGTTGTGAATCCCACGTCTTTATCTAAGTGAAGCTATTCCATTAGCGGTTTCCCATTCTCCTTCTCAAGGCTACCCTGGACGATGGCTTCGCTCTAGCTCCTTTTTGTCAATGTCAGAGGTAAGAGAGGCTCAGCATGCACTTCTGTGGGCCTATAAGAACCTATAAATAGGGGGGTTTGGAGAAATGGCTCAGTGGTAAAGAGCATTGCCTGCTCTTCCAAAGGTCCTGAGTTCAATTCCCAGCAACCACATGGTGGCTCACAACCATCTGAACTGAGATCTGGTGCCCTCTTCTGGCCTGCAGACATACACACAGACAGACTATTGTATACATAATAAATAAATAAATAAATATTTGTAAAAAAAAGAACTTATAAATAATCACTTTTCTTCATGAGACAAGGTCTATCCTGGGTGACTCAGGTAGACATTGAACTCACAATGCCACTGTCTCAGCTTCCCAAATCCTGGAACTACCAGCCTGCGTTGCCATTCTCTAGAGATAACCCAGCTCCTGCGGCCTCTTTTCAGGGATGATAAGGGGAAAGCAACAGTAATACTGTTTGTAAGCTGAGATCCTCGAGTCTCTGAAGGAAGGAAAGCAACATACATCTCTTTCTTTTGCTATAGGAAAGCCCATAAGGCCCACATGAAGATATACGCTTGCATCGTTAATTTTGATGACTCTCAAGTCCTCAAAGCTTGACAAGTATCTGCTGATAAGAGCGGTGGCTCCCGAGGAGTTGTCGAAAGATCACATTGACATCTGAGATGGTTCTCTGAGCAGGTGGTGGCTGGGGCCTACAGCAGCTGACCTCTTTAAGCATAAGTAAACATCACTGTATGCCGAAGTCAGAGCTATCTAGTTCAAGGATAGTGGAAGCAAAATTCACTCAAGATTATTGTTTATGCAGTGCCACAAAGGTACCAGAACCAAGATTTCTGTTTATCGTCTAGTTCATGCTTTTGCTTCTAACACAAATGAACTTCATTACTGAGAGTTATTGAAAAGCTAGATGTTGCCTCATTTTCCTGAAGGACTTTGTGGAGAGAGAAAGGATGTTTAGGAGACAGCAGAAATAAACAGATGGTAAGCGGGGGGGGGGGGGATGGGGGGAGGTATTTTGGCCAAGCACAGTACAGTGGCTTAGGACCCAGTTGAGCACTGAGTTAGTAAAAAATAAGTTAACACAACCGAGGAAGAAAGAGCGGTTTACCTGGAAAAGAGAATCTTTGCACAGTGGACACTTCGCGTTATGATCTAGGCATCTCTCAAGACACTTCATGCAAAAGGTATGCCCACAAGTTGTTGTGACTGGCTCATAGAATAATCTGAAATTTAGCAAATGAAATAGAAGAAATTTTAATGAGATTTCAAAATAAAAGATAGGGGCATTCATGGTTAAGTGTTCACAGAACTCTTTATCCAAACCTGAGGGAGGGCACTCTGTGTGTCTTATCGCCAGCATTTTCCTTTTCATTCCTGAACTATATGTAGAAAGATGCAGAGCTTCATATTTAGGGCATAACCAAATTATTTTGTAACATTAGCCTTTTCCTGTCTGGTCTAAGAAAAATTCAGATTAGTGCTCAGAGTGTCTGAACAGATTCCATTATTAAGAAAGTATTTGGCCAACCTGTTTACCAGAGTATACTGTAAGCACACAAATACGTACGGAGAGATAGCCACATGCATACACACACATAGACCATGTATACCATAATTACAATGGGGGAAAAACTCAATTCGTTTGCTAACCTTAATTTTTCCTTCATTTAAGTGACATTTGGTGCCTGAAGGTTCTTACATCTGTAACAAACATGCGCCTGCCTCTTGTGTGGATAGATAATTTTCCTAGCAGTAGTAAGTAATATGCTAACGCATTTACTCCTATCAATAGACATGTAAAATATGTGCATATATCTACTTACATTCTTACAAATAAAAGTATGTTTATATGTACCATATTCCTAATAGATCTTATTGCTTTCAGAAGGGAGGATTTTTTGTTTTGTTTTTTGTTTTTTGAGACAGGGTTTCTCTGTAGCTTTGGAGCCTGTCCTGGAACTAACTCTTATAGACCAGACTGGCCTCGAACTCACAGAGATCTGCCTGCCTCTGTTTCCCTAGTGCTGGGATTAAAGGCGTGCACCACCAATACCCGGGCAGGAGGATGTTTTTAAATCAATCTGGGGAAAACTGGGGACCCTTAATAAAAAAGTATTCTACACATTCAGAGATGCATAGATTTATTTTGTGTAAAGAGAGGTTCATCTGAAGCAGGACCAAGAGTTAGGGGGACAGCTGGTGGTGACTATTAACTGGGGCTCAGCCGGATGATGGTGGTACACACCTTTAATCCCTGCACTCAGAAGGCAGAGGAAGGCGGATCTCTGTGAGTTCGAGGCCAGCCTGGTCTATAGAACAAGTTTCCAGGACAGAAAGAGCTGTTACACAGAGAAACCCCTGTCTCAAAAAAAAAAAATTAAATAAATAAATAAAGAAAGAAATGAAGAAGAAGAAGAGGAGGAGGAGGAGCAAGTGGCTTTTACATTGAGCAAGATGAGACAAATCTTGGCCAGCTTCTTTTGACTTCCCACGAGTGTTCAATTTAGAGCAAGAGGTTGTGAGCCTTGTGGTATATGGTATCACACATATTTAATTAGAGGTCAATAGAAGAGGTCAATGATTTGAGAAGGAGGAAGGAGACACAGGAGGAGTTGGAGGGGGAAAGGGAGAGCTGAAAATAATGTAAACACAGGACTCAGAAATGATAGTCTCAAAAAATCAATTAGAAAAGAACTGTAAACATTTGCTGCACCTCAATACATCCCAATGAGTTATTTTATTTGGTTGATTTGTTTGAGGAAAAACTTGGCAAGCATCTTTCTAAATGCAATAAGGATATGCAAAAGGCTGAGAGCCAAGACACATCTGAAGAACAAGGATGTGGGAGGGCTTGCTTACCAGCATCAGAACTTATTATAAAGCTACGATGGTTTAAAACAGTATGTACCAGCACAAGGAAAAATAGATCCATGGAACAGAATAGAAAGCTCAGGAATAGAACCAGGCATGGATTCTTGACTTATGACAAATGTGACATTTGCAAACAGGGCCACAGGAGGGTTTGAAAGCACAAACAATCTGTATAAAGGCTAGAGCCCCTATCTGGACAGAGACATGAAAGTGGGCCATCTTTTATACCACACACAAAAATCAATTCCAGGTGATGTGAAAAAAAAATAAATCTGAAAAGAAAAACAACTTCCAGAACGTAAAATCGGAGAACATCTTGATGAAACAGAGATGGAAGTAGAGAAAACTCAAAGAAACACTAACTATAAGTGAGAAGATCACTAATTTCAACTGCACTAAGATTAAGAATTTTTAAGTTCATCTAAAAGCATAATTAAAAGGGCAAGGGGAGAGTGCTTGCCATGCCCAGGTAAGAAAAAGCTTGTATCTAAAATATACCTAGAACTTGTAAGAAAAACACACCCAAAGCAGTAGGGAAAACCAATAACCTAGTAGAAAACCAGGCAAACACTGGCACACGCAAAAGCGGTGGCCATCCATGATATTTCTAAACTAGAGCCAGCCCAGCTAAGTACCCATCTAGAATAGAACGAGGAGACTGTGGTACACTCACACAACGAGACGCCGTGTGCTAATGAAAATGAACAAACCACTTACATGTTGATACGGACTTTAAAAGAAGAAACCAGACTGAAGAAATATACTAAAATTCAATCTAAGTTTTACAATTTAGGACAAATCAGAGTATACCCTTTACAGCTGCAAATACGCATGGCGAACTTATAAGAAGGAACAAACTAGAACTCAAGAGTGTAGCTTGGAGGTTACAGTAGTTACTTTTATATTGCATGCCTTCCCAGTGCTGGGATTAAAGGTGCACACCACCACTACCCATTCTTCATTGTTTGTTTTTTTTTTTTTTAAGATAAGGTCTTGTTCTATAGCACCATTGGCCTAAGAGCACTGGCAAGCCTCTTGCCTCAGTTTCTTGCTCGCTGGGATTAGAAATATGTGCTGCCTCCCCTCGATTCCTCACCCTTGCTGTTTCTCAGGGGCGGGTTCTCACTCTGTAGCTCAGGCTGGCCTGTGACTCCTAATTCACCTGCTTCAAACTTCTGAGTATTGGTATTATAGGCATACTCATGATATCTGAATACTTTTAGATATTATTGATTATACATATGAGGATAATTGATAAATTCTATCTACTGCTAATATACAAAACTATTTTTTCTTGAGAGCTTGATGATTGAGACTACTGCTCTTTTAAGACCATAAATATATTTATCCTGCTGTATTTATGGTTGTGTGCAACACTATTTTTCATTAAAATTAACTTTATATATCAATAAGTGGCAATTATGATAAACTATTTTACTGCTGAGGAAATTAAAATGCAAGCAGACGAGATAACATGCCCAAGATTACAGAGTTAGCTGGTAGACAGAAAGCTTGGGATGTATAATCACATCTGACTCCACAACTAATCTTCCTCTTTCGGTCTACAAGACAGCTAGGACTACATGTGTCCTTATATTCAACTGCATTCCAGCCACTCAGCCGACATCTGCCCGCCCAAGTGCACTTCCACAAACGCTTTCCTCCTTCCCTTTCTGTCACTCTCCTCCTCCCTCTGCTCTGCAGAGAGAGACACACAAAGCATCTTACCTACGAAGAGAGAGAGGTATATACTGGGACGTCTGTCTGTCCTTTTTTCACTTAAGATAAGGGTTTTGAAAACACTTCAGAGAGACAGCTTTAAATCAGAGCAGGGCTGGCTTGTCTCACAAGAAAGCATTTCACATTATCAGAGCGATGTGGTAAACAATAGTAAGAAAAAAATCCCTTCCCTTAGATGTCAGTCCAGATAAAACGTCTGGCTTATCTGGAAAGAGCT